ACTGTCACATTGGGACCATTCATCCTCTACTGGGTCTCGGCAGCTCCCCTCTGCTGAGGCAAGGGGGATGGCCCGAGCTGCTGGGAGATCAGCCCCTTATGTGCAGCTCCCGGACGGCCTCTACATAATGCATGTCCCTAGCTCTTCGGAGACCGGAGTCCCTCATACGACAACAACCAGACTTTTATTCTTTGACTGGCAGATGGGCTAGTCCCCTTACCTGGTCTGGTCACCAGTTTATCCTTTCACAGGAGATTTTAAGGCAGTCGCCCTTTGGCACTTACTGACTGTCCTGTGCCCTTTTTATGGCCTCTTTGATGGCTCCGAGAGAAAGAAAATGTTTAGCAAGAGAAGTTTAGGACAAGCTGAAGATAGAAACAATTTGTGCCTCTCGGCTGACTTACCTTAAATCTTGTGAGATCCCGGACGAGCCCCCAAAATGATACTGGAATTGTCAGGCCTAGTCTCCCAGCCAGGAACAGATCCCAGGCTGCAGGGCAGCGCTGAGCCCCAGCCACTAGACCCCTACGGGCTGGTGTCTCACGAAGCCACAGCAGGAACTTCGCAGACGCTCAGGCAAGCAAGGGAGAAGAGGCAGGTTTGTTTATAGAAAGAAAAAGTTTATTGAGGAGAAAAAGAACAGAAATAAAGTGGGACTCCCAGGCCAGGGAACCAGGCCTGGGAGGGGCAAGGAAGCCAAAGTGGAGTCGTGTCTCAGGGACTATAGACCTTCTTTCCCTCATTATTCTAAAGCTCCACCAGTCTCTTTGTGATTGGTTAGTTCTCGGCTGTCTCACTTAATTTGCTACTGAGTGGGGGATCTTCACATTCCTTATCTAACAGGTCTGTCTTTCCCCATTTGTTGCATCTTTATCTTTATGGCCCAGTCTTCTGGATGGGCATCCCTGCATTGAAGTTAAACAGCTGCCCTTCTAATGTGTCCATAAATTAAACCACTCTCCATTTCCCCAATCTCTACCTCCCTTTACCACCTGAAGGAAACCAGGACCATCATTAATATTGTCCGTGGTCCTGAGATGTTTGTTTTTCCTAGTGGAATGGGTTACTTTCCCTTGGTTGTCCTTATCTCTGAAGCCTCCCTAAATTCTTCAGAGGTCCCCTCCTGCACTCTCCCTAAAACTGCCTAATTTCTAGCTTGCCCTGTGTCTCAATTCCATAGAAGAGGGTGTGAGATAAGTTGGAGCTTTGTAAGGTAAGTAAATTATTAGGCCTTTCTGCCCTCCCACCATTAGGAATGATGATGGATCCCTGTGGTCCTGAATGCATGCCTGATGGCGGGCACCTGGAGTAGGGTGTGGGCATGTGTAAGTAGGTTCACCTGGGCTGAGGACTGGGGACTTATAAGGGGATCATCACCGGGATTCCAGGAGAACCACGAGAAGAGAGAGAAAACGGAACAGCAAAGCAGAAGCCACGAGAGAACACCGGAGAGACCAGAAAGAGTGAAGCTTCGCTGTGGGGTAGGAGGCCTTCTGGCCTCCCGGACCCCCTATCTGCCGTGTACCTGCTAAAATGCCAAATAAAGCCTTAAAAAGTCACCGAGGGTTCAGGACTCTCCTCCTTTACCCTATCTGATAGAATCATAGAAAACCTGCTCTGTCATCATCCTTGCTGCTATAAGCTTTAAGGACTGAACCCTGGGACTGTGCTGCCTTCAAGGAGCAGGGGGAGGTGAGAATCAGGAAAGGGACTCAGCAGGGGACCAAGTTACAACAAACTCAAGAAGGGAAAACCCTCAAGAAAGGAAACCCAAACAAGATGGGGATGGTTTCAAGATGAACTTAGGGTATCCTTGTAGTAGCTGGAAGGCACAGAGTTGGTTCTCTATGATCTGAGAAAAGGGGTAAAGGAGAGTCCTGGAGCCCTTGGTGGCTTTCTCAGGCCTTTACTGAGCTTTTACATTAGTGCAGCAACCAGGTACACGGCAGGCAGAGATGCCGGGGGCCCAGGAGGCCGGTAGGCCTCAAAGCGCCAACCAAGTCTTCACTCAGGGCTTCTCTGGCCTTCTTTCTCCCCTTCTCTCTCTTGCCTCCCTCTCCTGCCTCTACTTCTCTTTATGAATATCTCAATACTGCAGTCATGGCCCACACAAATAAACAACATAACTTATAATAATGTAACAAATGCAGGTGCCCCATCAGGCAAGGCAATCCTAACTTGGGAACAGAAAAGCCTGAAAATCATTTACCCACAATCCACCCCCGCTGGGTTTTCTGCTATATAGTCCACATATGAGTTATATGTCATTTTCCCTTGTTAAAGCACACCGGTGCCGAGTCCAAAAATGACCGAGATGCAATGTAAGGGCAAGGATCCATCATCTATCCTGATGGCGGGAGGGCAGAAAAGCCTGACATTTTTCCTTACCCTACACCCAAGTTCGATGCAAAAGCAAAGGTGGCCTTTATTAGCTAGCTCAAGCTAGGGTCTGAACCCCCAGAGTGGAACTGACACAGTGGCCATGCCCAGACAGGGTTGGACCTGTAAAGGGCAGGAATGACACAGTGCAGGTTTTCTATGATCCAACAGACGGGGTAAAGGAGGAGTCAGAGTCCTCAGTGGTTTTTTGCAGGTCTTTATTGGGGTTCACCAGCATATGGCAGGCAGGGGTGCTGGGGGGCCGGGAGGCTGGCAGTCCTCCCAGCCCCCAGCAAGGCTTCACTCTATCCTGGCTCTCCGGTGATCTCTGCTTCTGCTCTCGGCTTCTCTTTCGGCTTCTGTTCGTTCTTGGCCTCTACTGGCGTCCCCATGACGCCACCCTTAAAAGCACAGTCTTAGCCCAGGTGAATCCCATCTACCTATGCCCACACCCTACTCCAGGTGCCCGCCATCAGGCATGCATTCAGGACCGCAAGGATTCATCATCTATCCTAATGGCGGGAGGGCAGAAAAGCCTGACATTTTTCCTTACCCTACAGACCCCGAGCACCATAATTAAGCAGTTTAAATAGGCATACAAAATGGGTCCCTTAGGGTAATCTGACAGCTCCTGATGTGGATTCTAGGAATCTGACTGTTAGGATAATCTAACGGTTACGAATGCAGGTTTGACTGTTAGGATAATCTAACAGGAGCAGGGGTAGGTGAGAATCAGGAAAGGGACTCAGTAGGGGGTCAAGTTACAAAAAACTACCCAAGAAAGGGAAACCAAACAAGATGGGGATGGTTTCAAGATGAACTTAGGGGTGTCCTTGTAGTAGCTGGAAGACACAGAGCTGGTTCTCTATGATCTGAGCAAACGGGTAAAGGAGAGCCCCTGAGCCCTTGGTGGGTTTTTCAGGCCTTTACAGACGCTGGTTCTTAGAATCTAGGATTCCAGGAATTGCAACCTCACTGTCAGTTAAGCTCTTAAATGGCTGCTGTACTTTAAAATGGCTGTTGTTATGCTCTATTCTTACACCCTTAGCAAACATAAACAATGTAGCCATGGCCCACAAAAAAAAAAAAAAAAGACAATACAAAAAAAACAAGTAAGTTCAGGCAGGATACCAACCTATTGTCAAAAGACTATTATTGGCACCACATGATCCACCACTACTGATGCAGAAGGCCCTGCTCCTACAAGGGAGGGAAACCACTCAGGCATGTGTCTCACGCCAGGAGCTATCAGGCTTCCTGGCCTTCTCTGGCTGTCATCTCAGTCACAAGCCAGACATAGCACCCACCCCCAGGATGCACTCACTCTTGGATTGGCGATTCTATATTTTTGGGGTAATCGCCCAATCCTCAGGGTTTTCTGTCTGCGGTCACTCCAACACTCGGCTTTCACAGCCACCAATGCCACATGCAGACCCCTGCACTCAGGCTAACCCATTTTTGCACAAGCACATGGGTCGGGGATCCATGGACACAAGCTCTCTTGGGCCCCCTCTTTGTGGGCTCCACCACAAGCCATGTTCCCCACCCGTCCCCCAAGGACAGTATCCTCAGTTCCTCATCCTTAATCAACAGTGAGCAGGGCATCACCCACAGGTGATTTTAAGAGAGTCACTGACCTTCTTTAGCACAGTTGGGCTGCTTACCAGCTGCTCAGGGCTTCCCAATCTCAGCACCAGCTTTTGCCTTTTTATGTTGGCTTTTGATCTATCTCACCTGCCTGGCTGCTGAGAACTTGGTGAGGGCTTCCTCCCTCAGCCTCCTGGGCTCCTCTCATGCCTGCCCCTTCCTATACTCTGGCCATTGCCTCTCTGGGATGTGGCCCTAGGATTGCTGGGCAGTACACAGGCTGCTTTTAAACACTGAGGCCCACTGGCTGCTGCAAGCCAGCTGTAGCAGCCTGGGTGTCAGGGGTTCCTGAAGGATGGGATGACATATATGCAATTGTAGAAAATGTGGGGGAGGGGGAGTGAGGGGGAGTGAGGAGACGCAAACACCTGATCAGGGTGCAGACATCATTCTGCTGAGGGTCTCAGCAGCCCTTTTTTTATACATTTCAAGCAAAGCAGGAGAGTGCATAAGCATATGCATTAAGGTAGGAAGATAACAATCATCACATGTTTTCAAGAGTAGCCAAGGGTCTGTTTGCCTTCCTGCAGAGGTCCTGACTGAAAGGTTCGGCGTGGTAAAGAAAAGGAGAGCCAGGCTAAATTTCTCAA